TAGAGTCTAACAGCAACCCGACCTACAAAATGAAAACTCCATCCACAATACGTCCGCTATCCGCATGGATACTCGTTTTGAAAAATTCGCAGATATTTCAAAACTCGCGAGTATATACGGATACCTACAAATATTCAAAAATATATATTTTATACATTTTTAAATAAAGTTTAAATAAAATTGAAAAAAATATATAAAATTTAATATAAATAAAATAAAATATAAATTAAAGTTTAATTTTAATTAAATTTAATCTAATAAAATATAAATTAATTTTATTTTAAATTAAATTAAATTAAATTATTATTTTTATTTTTTGCGTGTAAGGGTACCCTCAGGTTGGGTAGTATACTACATGCACCCAACCCGTTTATAAGTTGATATTAAAATATTCGCTACCTGCAACCCGTGAGTATCGCAAACATAGATTTTTTTGTCATCTTTAAGTGTGGTCCAATAAGACCCTCCAAGTCTCTTCAGTCTAAAACCTACGCCTATTTAGATCATATTTCCATATTATAACTAAATATCGATAGTTTGATGTGTTGATTATTATTTATCATTATCTTACTATTTGTCATGTTGTTATTATACACTTAATGTAAGTATTCCAATAGAAACATAGGTCCAGAACCTATGTTGATCCAATAAATATAACTAATATTCCCTAAAGAATACTAATTCCTAAAATACTTATACACACAATATTTACAAAGATCTTAACTCTCTTATGCGTTGAAAAGTATTTTGTAGGTGGATCCGCTCAATAATTAGGAGACCCTTAACGAGAGTTTTCAAAATCATTGTTAGGATATTGTCACCTGAAAGTCCATGCTGAATATGACAATAAGAACATTGAAATCCACCCTGGACCGTAGTAAAACACTTCCCCAACCTCGCGTTCCCATGATCACCATGCATAACTTTCCCACAAGACGAAGTCCAACCTAAATGGTGATCATGGGACATCAATATAGTTACAAATCCAATAAAGCAATAACATAACAAAAAATGCAGGAGATCGGGATGGTATGGGATGAACGAGTTGACGGTATAACTGGGATGGGTCAATGGGATTGTCGGGATGAATGAGCTGACATGATTGTCGAGATTCTATCGAGATTAATGGACTGACTGAATACTTAGAATAGACTTGGATTGAATAAGATGAACGCATTGACGTCGATCTCACATAATCGTTAATCTGATGTTGATTCTGGAGTCTTGTTTCGTCACGAGGAATGGGCCAGTGGGAAGTTACTACAAGTTTTCTAGTACATTAATTATATAGTTAAGTTAAAGAGATTAAATTAATAAATATTAAATGATGCAATAAAGAAGAAGGAACGAAATATGAGTGACAAAGAAAGAAAGTGAATGACTTATTAGCGTTTTCCTATTAATTGACGAGAATACCAGAACTCGAATGTTAATGTATTGTCATTTAGCGAGTAATTCTTAACCATAGTTTCACGTAAACATATAACCTGTGAATCAAGAACAACATCTGACGTAACCTATAATAGTTCTAAACTAAAATGCGGGTTTCTGGAAAAGAAACAAAAATAAAGTAAAACCCAATTGCGAAATCCTTTCACTGCCACGAACTAACTCATGGTTTGCGTCAAATACATATATACAATTTCCTCAAGACTTCTCCATTCATTTCAACGCTAGAGTTGCTTCTAGTTCCAAACAGCCATGGAAAACCTATCTTCTCCCGAAATTCCGGTTTCAAAATACGAGAATTTCATTACGGTTCTTAGCATTGACGGTGGTGGTATTCGAGGAATCATTCCCGGTGTTCTTCTTGCCTACCTTGAGGCTCAACTTCAGGTTAGCAAATTGCAGTGTTTTAAATTTTAAGTTAGATTCTAAGGCTTCTGAATGTCTGTCTATGCATACATATGTAGGAGTTAGACGGTGAGAATGCAAGGCTTGCAGATTACTTTGACGTGATTGCTGGGACAAGTACAGGGGGTCTCGTTGCTGCCATGTTAACAGCTCCAAATCCAATGGCCAACAAACGCCCTTTATTTGCTGCCAAAGAAATTGTTCCTTTTTTCCTCCAAAAGTCTCCACAAATTTTCCCTCCTACTAGGTCCAATAATATATACACTAACATTACTATTATCACATACACACACACATATATATTTTATGTGTATTCGTTGACACCACAGTGTAAATATATGCTATATATATCTAGTTCATAACCAATTATATATGTTATGAGTATATATGTGTGTGTGTGTATATATATATATATGTTTGCTTATACTCTTTCATATTTCACGTGCATGCAGCGGACTATTTGGCTGGCCGAAGAACATAGCGAAAACATTGACCGGACCTAAGTACGATGGGAAGTATCTGCATGAGTTAATAAGAAAGAAGTTAGGGGAGACAAAGTTGCACCAAACCTTGACAAACGTTGTTATTCCCACTTTTGACATCAAGACACTTCAACCTACCATCTTTTCCTCGTTTAGGGTCATTATTCATATTTTTAGTACATAGTTATACATTGTTAGCTTTTGTTGTTGAAATTGCAGTGAATTGAATCATCTTGTACAGATTGCCACGGAAGCAGCTTTGGATGTAGAACTGTCAGATATTTGCATAGCCACTTCGGCTGCTCCAACCTTTTTACCGGCTCATTATTTTACGAAGCAAGATGAACAAGGAAATGTCATTAGAGAATTCAACCTCATTGATGGTGGTGTGGCTGCAAATAATCCGGTGAGACTCTTGAGAACAAAAAAGAGATAAATGAAGGCTTGTTATACATAGCTACTAATAATAGTGAACTGAAATTTAATTTGGCTCTTGATATATGGATGTGCAGACTTTTGGTTGCAATCAGAGAATTGACGAAGCAAATCATAAGGAAGCCAAATGAGAAATAGGTATCAGCCCTTTGTGAACTATGATCGCTTTCTTGTTTCTGTCATTGGGGACTGGATCGAACAAGAAGGAGCACAAATACGACGCGAAAATGGTGTCAAAATGGGGAATTTTAAGTTGGGTATTCAAATCTGGATTCACGCCCATTATAGATTGCTTCAGCGAAGCAAGCAGTGATATGGTTGACTACCACAACTGTGTGCTTTTTAGGGCGCTTCAATCTGAAGACAACTATCTCCGGATTCAAGTAAGCTTGATGAAGTACTAACGTCTGGTTTTATTGCTGTCTGTGTCTTTAAAAATGGCGGTCGTAATAGTTAATTAATTCGGTTGGTGCAATCAGGAAGATACATTAAAGGGGGGATTTAGCATCTTTGGATGTAGCTACTGAAGAGAATTTGAATAATCTGGTTCAATGTTGGGAAGGAGTCTGAAGAAAAAAGTTACGCGAGTGAATCTTGATACAGGTCTCTATGAACCAGTTCCAGATAAAGGCACCAATGAGGAAGCACTCAAAAGGTTAGTTTTATTTGTATAATATATTTAATTTAATTTATTTTGTAGCAGTAACAAGACATCTAAATAAATTGATCGATGTTTGCAGATTTGCAAGTCACTCTCGGATGCAAGAAAGAAGAAAAAGTTCAACTTACAGTATAGGAATTAAATGATCGTAAGAATGCATGCTATTGACAAATCCATGGTTGAAGCTTCCCATCGATTTGCTATAATCTGTATACAATATAAGGGTTAAATTTGCTACTATCTTCAATGTTGAAGAGAACAATTGTTGATGCTTTTGAAACTTAAAATTAAGAATTCAATTAAAACTCATGGATGATGTAAAGATTATTCTATTGAATCTAAGGTGTTGGGTATATATCTTCAGGACGATTTACAATTTTAAGTTAAAGTAATTTTTGTCCTAAACTATGGCTTTTGGTTTTCATCCCTCTTCCAAGAATCAATTGGTCCCATCAGAAAAGTTAGTCCAATTTGTTGCCGTTAGCCCAAATGTATTTGTACAGGTTTAATGGACAAAGTACTTTTGATGGAGCGACCAGAGAGAGTAATTTAGGCAACATATTCCCATTAAGAATTAACGAATAATATACTATTTTATTGTTAATTTAATTTGACGGACCAATAGTTAATCACCCCTGTATGAATTGTAAAAAAGTTTAAAACAATGTATTTACACCTATCTCACAGGAGATTGTTGCAACCTGCATACTTTAGTTTGGAGAAACTTCTTAACACTTACTTCTATTGACAAAAAATAAAAAGAAAAATAAATTAAAATTTATATAAAATAAGTTTATTTATAGGATTTTTTGAAAATATGACTTTTGATTTATGTATAAATTAGTTTTTAACTTATAACATATGTAGCATTTTTTCTTGAAGTACTTGTAGAAATGGCAACTCCCTATCATCTTTAGTGCCACATCTTTTTTCTGCTAAATTAAAACATATAACATACGTTTTAATGTTAAATAAAAACAAGTACAGCTAAATTCATGTGCTATTTCTTACCACGGTGAGACCGCCTGCTCACTTTTGTCCAACTTCTAGTTTTCAATTTTCATAAAGCAGTCTTTATATTTAAGCCGAATTAGTGGCAATTGTACAAAAATAAAAACGACACCATACCACTCCCACACACAACAATTTAATTTTAAACGCTCAAGTTTTGTGGATATTTATGCTTCATAGCTATGCTTGTGAATACTTCCTTAAAGGCAGTTGAAAATTTTAAAATATTGGGTCGATGTTTGCAATAGTTCTCAATGTTTAAAAGAAATGCAATGAAAATAAATGTCTTGGTAAAATTATCTCCCCATGTTACAGAGTTTAATAGCTTGTTAACCTCGATTATCATTAAGCTTTTCTTAAAGTCGTCAAACCAAATTTGGCTCAACCAAACCCACTCTCAACTGGTAATTGTCGAGATTCGTGTGAACCTCTGCCAGCGGCTTCATGCATGCTGGCCTCATTTAACAAGGATCTGGTTTAATAGTTTTTTTTTATCTTCTTGCCTGCACAGAACCCATGAAACCCTAGCATCTAGACCTACAGCCACTGAACATCCATTTTTGTATAAGCTTTTCCAAGAGCACAACATCTCATTTCACTAAATGAAAGTGGTTCCTCTCCTCGTCACCATCCCTGGTAAGTTCCAGCAAAAAAGAATTGATCTGGGACTAGAAGGAATTAAATCAATTGCATCTAAATAATGAAGTTTCTCCATGTGGTTTATCCAGAATTATAAAATGTTGTATCTGTCAGCATTGAGTCATAATCTCAGCCCCGTCAGGGGTAATGAGAATGGTGTGCTCAAACTGTGCTGAAAGGCTTCCATCTGCCGTTACGACTGTCCAGTCGTCATTCCACTTCACAGGATTGATGCTGCCAATAGTCAGCATTGGTCTGTAATTTTACCACATACACGAAAGAGTTACCACATAACAAAAAATGATATAGTTCGCAACCACCACAACTTTATACCACCAATTTACAATCATTTTTATTATTTTCTATTTGTAATAATTTAGTTTATATTTTAATTAAAATTTCAACATATTTTTGTTATTAAAAGAAGTTGTTAATATAATTGTATATCAAGGTGGTTGTCAAAATACATTTTTTCTGTAACAAAACCTATCTCAAGAAACTTGGGCCATGTTAACGTAAATTTTCATCAAACACTTGCAGGAAAATAAAATTAATTTTCACATAAATTAAAAACCAAATTCTAAAGAAACTAAAGCGAGAAAGTTTTTATAAATAAATTCAAACAAGCGAATCTGGGATTGGAAGTGGACTGTTAGTGAGCTCCAATGTCACTTTAGGTCAACAATTTCATTCCCCTCGTCCTATAATGTGAAAGTAAGCTGGAAAGAAGTGCTTTAACTGAGTCATTTTCATCATTGTCTACAAGTTGAGTTTTTTTATACTCCATGTCCATAATTTTTTTAAATGTTGCACTAACGTATTCAGAAGTACTAGAAGCCATTCCACGCAACATAATCAAAGGGTCGAAGGCATACACAGTTTTTAATTCCTCAAACAACAAAAACACAAAGTCGATAGCGTTCCATATTGTGCAAAAGAAAATTACCAATTGTAAACGTTTGATTCAGCCCATTCGTCACTTTCATTGTTTCCTGCGAATAACAGTATTGTTTACAGAAACCAATAATAGGTAAGCTGACAGAATATTAAACATTTAAATATAACAAAATAGGGTTGCAAATAAAAACACCTTCGAAACACTACTAGGGGTCATTAACAAACTGTAGCTCACAAACTGAACAGGTAATTAGGTAATATTGCAAACAGTTAACGGAAGTCAAGTGAAAGTTAACATGTCGCTTCGTTTGGCATATTGGTTTTAAAGAAAGGAGCAACAAGAACATAAAATTGGTTTTAATTTATTGTTTACAACAAACTTTTTGAAGAAAAAAATTAACTTCTGACCTATTCAATTCATTAATCAATACACAATATAATTTGATAAATCCAAAATCTAAACTTAAGTTCTCAATAATTAATGATAATTACTTTTCAGATTAATGGACACAATTGACTTCAATATTCCTTAAGCCGAAATGAGATTCACAAACTAACCACAGGTTGTTGCTTTGTAGCATCTACGTGGAGCTAATAATGAAAAAAGTATACAAATAAAGTTAATTCCTAAAAATGAAGAACACTGGATCGGCATGAAAAACACTTCCAACTCCATGGCCAACAAACTCTCTGGACAACACCATAACGATACTTATCTGCATGATCACTAAAAAGGAAAGGAGAAGACGTAAATTATGAATCATTATATAATTGAGAATAAACTTTTCTGAGTTACAATTGTCAAATACTAGCTCAAATTAATATAAATCAGGTAATAGCTTAGATACTGCTTGATGAAGGAGCAGTTCAAGGTGGATATATCTTTGAGGGAACCATTCATGGAGGAAGTAAACTCTGCCCATCTTCCTCGTTTTCTAATGCAGAGATATAAAGTGTCACAGAAGACACAACTAAATTCATTTATAGCTCATCTTGCAACTTTTTCTGATTCTACCCTTACTATTTAAATGTATTTCCCATTGGATCATATTTTTAATGATTTCTATGTTACGCTCTAACTGTTTTATTAAACTAGCTATTCGATCTTAAAAACTTAAAATCAATAAAAAAATATAAAAATAAAGTCATAAAAAATATAAAATAAATGTATTAAAAAAAGTAAAAAAAAATAACGTAAAAAAATATATAAAACTCTATTACCTAAATTGTTTTTCTACGAAACAAGTAGAATTTATACAAAAATCATAAAAAAGTAATTCTATATCGTTTTACGTAAATCACCTACTTCAACTAATTTTAGCAAATACATGTAATAAAAAAAATAAAACTAAATTACCTATATTGTTTTTTCTACAAAACAAGTAGAATTTACACAAAAAAACATAAATAAGTCCTTTTATATGTTTTACATATATCACCTACTTCAACTAATTTCACCAAACACTTCAAATTTCATCAGAGCTAGCTCACTTTTACCTTCCAGTTTATTAGATTATCACCTAATTTCGTTAAACTAAGTGGAAAAGTGGCTTTTGGAACCAAAATTATTCTTGACACGTTAAATTAAAATAAAAAATAAAAAATAAGGGTCACGAGTCTAAAGCTATGCAATAACTATTTTATTACATCGAATCTTATTGCCCAAAGATTTCTGGCTTTCTGCGGTATAGGGAAAATAAGGGAACAAGAGAAAGAACAAATGGAAAAGGGGGTGGCATCTTACTGAATTGTCTTGCCAATTGTCTTGAATTCCACTCCCGGTGCACATATTGATATTGCTTTATCTAAGCATTCTTTAGTTATCTGTATTAACATACAAACAATCCGATCAAGCAAAAACATGACGAGGACAATGTCGCAATTCTCAAGAACAAAATAAAACACTTCACAAAATCAAAGACACATAAGAGACTTCTAGAACACTACTCAACTAGAAGCATAACAAAATACGTTGAAAAAAGAAAAGTATAAACAATTCATAATAGTAGATAAATAATATTATGGGAAAATACCACTTATAAGAATAAATAAGTGGCATGTCATTAAGTGATTAGACAATTCAAAGCAATAAACAAATAATAGGGAGAGTCTTCCTTATGCATCTTGAATACAATAACATCAAAAGATAAGACTATTTGAGTTAATAGAGTACATTCTACTGGATAATTTGCATCTTCAATAATATGAAAAATTTAAACCGTGGGATAATCTAACATACAGCTTTACATCTTTGTACCTATGGTTACTGCTCTGCTATGGTAACACATGCAATGTCCTCAAATCCAGTAAAGTAGCTCTCTTTCTCTGCTAATATTACAGAGTTGTAAAGCAAAGCTTAACATTATTTCACCAGTTATCTGTGCCTAATGAAATCGGACCACTTCACAGTCAGTCCTTTCTTTTATACAATGAACACCAAAGCAGGAAACAGTAAGCATTCCAGGCGAACCAGTTTAGAATTAAAATTGAAATTTCCAGTTTCCTACCTAACCCAGAAACACCAGAATCGAAACATGCAAGCTTCGGCCTTTGTTGTTTGTCACAACTCACATGTCATTTGTTAGATATATTAGTTTATCTTGTATATTTTGTTCTTATTATTTATTTGTATTTTGGCTTTATTATAAATATAGAATCTTATGTGTATTTTCTACATAAGAGAAAATAATCTCATACATAGTTTTTCCTTATATTTAATATGGCATCAGATGCAAATTCCGATCCTGGGACCTAGGGTTATGGGCCCACCAAACTTTGCCGCTCGTCTCAGCCAGGCAACTACCACGCTATCGAGATCGCCGCCTTTGGAGTCCAAACGTTCTTCCCACTGCTGGTTAAGTTCGCAGACACCGTCTTTTCTAGCCGTGCATGGTGACATGTGCACAATCTTCTCCGGCTCCGATCACCCTGGTCTCCTCTCTTTAGATTTTGCCTAGTTGCCTTAATTGGAGAAACTTGGATTTTTAGAGTTTCTCTCTCTTGTTCATATTGATCCTCCCTCCCAATCACCTCTTTTTGGATCCTCCTTCATCTGATATCATCGACAAATTTGTTATTATTATAACTTTCTCAAATGGTATGAGGATCACCCCTTGTATAGTTCCACTGCTTATGTAGCACACACTGTTAACATCATTCGTTTGTCTAACTCATTCTTCTTCTTTTAGTCCTTGGGTTCTTGACTCAGGAGTTACATATCAATTCCTAGTAACCAAATCTTGTTTCCCTCTTTTATCCTCTCTCGATAATTTACCTTTTGTGTACAATACTGATGGATCTAAGGCTTTAGCTTATGGTATTGGGATTGTCAACCTTTTTCCTTTTTTATCAGTTTATAATGTTCTATATATCCCTAAGTCTCCTTTTAGTTTATTATCCATTAGTCGTCTAACTTTTTCTCTTGATTGTGTTATTTGTTTTACCAAACATCATGTTTGTTTACAGGAACGGAGTTCAAGACAAGTGATTGGTATCAGATGTAAGTCTCATGATCTTTATCATCCCGCCTT